TTTGTTGCCCTAGCACAGGGGTGGGGAACCTTTTTTCTGCCAAGGGCCATTTGGATATTTATAACATCATTCGAGGGCCATACAGAATTATCAACCTAGCCTGCTATATTTGGTTAAACATTTAATTAACTCACCCCTAAAGTCTAGCACTAGGAATTTGTAGGTGTTTATCAATTAGCGGTTTTATTTTTCTCTCATTTCCAGTCACTTGACCAGACCCACTGCACTGTTAATTAATATTCCTGATTTATATGTTTGTAACTATTTTTAAAAAAAAAACCCAGTTGATATTGACTATTGAAGTTCTCCGTTCTTTCCACAGAGTACATCCTTTGCCACCTGATGACACAGATGACGAAGAAGAATAAAACTTTCTTATTCATCCTTGACTAATGTCTCCTGTTTACTCTGGTATTCTAGGATGTAAATTTGCATAAATGTATTTGTTCCAGTTAGCTTTGTTGAATAGGCATTTAATTAAAAATGAGGGTTACAAATAGTTATTCAAAAGCAACTAGTTAACATATTGCAAGATTTACGAGATAATTATGGTTATTTACCTTAGTATTCAATATAATGCAGTATTTGGTTTCTTTTACCTGTTATTAGGCTTCTTGTGCTTGCTAAAAAGAAATCATTGCATGTTGTATAGAACAAATCTGCTGTATTTGAGATTTGCTTAGATTTTTGTACTGCTGCCATTTTTACTGGCATTAGATTTTTATTTTCGTTCCTTTTATTTGATTTAAAAAGCAGAGTTGGATTTCTGCACATTTAAAAAAATCAGTATTAGTTAAACCACACCTGTATTCTTTTTAAGAATGGGGGCCAATGTTGAAAAAATTTGATGGCTATCTGTGTTCTCCATAGAAACAAGTAATGGCAATTTGATCCTGAGGGTTTCAGGCAGGAAGATTTCATAGACTACATTAAAAGAGAAGAATTTTCTTAGCATATGCATTTGATTTGGTATCATAAAATAGTGCTCTCTGGAAATCAATAAATCATGAAAGGCAAACATGCCATAAACCCAGAGCTATGTCTAAAGTTCTTAGAGCTACCTTTATATTTTTCAAGATAACAGGGGTATAATTGAAGAGGTGGGTATAATATAACGTAGTAACAGTAATTCTTGCTTCCTCATCACATTTGTTTTTGCTGACATCTGTTGTCAAAATTAACCATGTTTTAACAGATATGTTTTTCTGAAGTTTGTTTTTAATAAATGAATACTTATTTTCACAATAGATTATATCCATTTGTGTGCTTCCTAAGATTCTACTAGATACTTCTGTTTTATTTCTTCCAAATACAAATCTGTGCATTGATCTGACTTTATCACCTTCCACACTGAGTCCTGATGATTCTAGATTGCATTTTTTTTTGTCTTAGAGGTCGATATTAAATAAAATGTTACTGAATTTCAAGTAGAGTTTTATTTTAAGTACTTCCTTGATAACTAGGCTTCTTATTAAGGAGTAACTCAAATCAACTCTTATTAAAGTCAAGGTTTTTTTTGTGTGTTTTTTTATCTTGTATTTATTTTTTTAAATCTTTATTGTTCAGATTATTACATTTGTTCCTCTTTCCCCCCCGTAACTCCCCTCCACCCAGTTCCCACCCCACCCTCCGCCCTCACTTCCCACCCACTGTCCTCATCCATAGGTGCACGATTTTTGTCCAGTCTCTTCCTACATCCCCCTCCCCCTTTCCCCCCAAAGAATAGTCAGTCCACTCCCTTTCTGTGCCCCTGATTCTATTATAATCACCAGTTCATTCTGTTCATCAGATTATTCACTTGATTTTCAGATTCACTTGTTGATAGATGTGTATTTGTTGTTCATAATTTGTATCTTTACCTTTTTCTTCTTCCTCTTCTTAAAGGATACCTTTCAGCATTTCATATAATACTGGTGTGGTGGTGATGAACTCCTCTAGCTTTTTCTTATCTGTGAAGCTCTTTATCTGACCTTCAATTCTGAATGATAGCTTTGCTGGGTAAAGTAATCTTGGTTGTAGGTTCTTGGTATTCATCATAAAGTCAAGTTTTGATGGGTCTGAAACCTGATTTGTTATTTTTCACTGATGGAGAGAGAAATTTTTTGGTGGTGTGTCTCATGAAGTATAATTTTGATATATAATTTTTTAAAAATTTGATCTAATGAAAGTACAGTCTCTTCAAATATACAATTGATGTCTCACTTTTTAAATTTTTTATTTTTTAAAATAAATCTTTATTATTCAGATATTACTGATGTTCCTCTTTTTCCCCCCATTGCTCCCCTCCACTCAGTTCCCACCCCACCCATGTCCTTACGTCCCCGCCCCCACTGTCCTGATGTCTCACTTTTATTAGGCAGAGGTGTCTGTTCTATGTAGTTTTTCTGTCAAAGCTTTTTGAAAATTAGATTAGCAATTTAGCCTCTTCTAAAAACATAAGGGAAGTATATATTACCTGTTTCCATTGAAATTGGTTGGCAACTATTTGTTTTTTGTTTGTTTGTTTGTTTGTATTGCTTTTTAGCGACAGATGTGAGAGCTTAACATCTATGGATCGATTGCCTTCTGCACTCCCCCTACCTGGTGGATAAAGCCCGCAACCCGGGCATATGCCCTGACTAGGAATCAAATTGGTGACTTCTCAGTGCATGGGGCGATGCTCAACCAACTGAGCCACACTGACCAGGGCTGCAACTCTTGTGAAAAACATCATGAATTAAAATTTTGAATTTTTGTAACTTCCCCTCCTTCCTATTCTTCCCTCCCCCTTCCTATTCTTGTTTCTGTCTTTGACATAACACAGAACAAGTTATTCCTTCCACATGACAACCTTCAAGTACTTAAAGATAGCTGTTATATCTTTAGCTTTCTCTTCCTAAGGCTAAACATTCTATTGTTTATGTCACATATATCCTAAGTTAGTTTCTCTAAGTCCCTTGTATAAGGGGCTATGTTTTGTGTTGTATATTGCTTAGGCACATAAACTGATCCAAGTAGTCATTAATTGTTAGACTTTAGTTTTTGTATCTTTTATATTTGGAGATGCCAATGGAACTCTAAGAATATTTAAATATTCATTATTGCATAACAGAGTTATATTTCCCAAAATAAACATTAGATACCCTAATTCTTTCTTAAATTATTACAAAGAGCAATAAAAAATGAGAAAAAAAAAGCTTTTAAGAACTGAGAAAAGCCTGGAGGTTATATCTACAGGATAAACGTACTGTACTGACTTTGAAGGCTAATTGAGATCTAGTTTAGATCTGAAAGCACTATGTTAATTATGGTTCATATTAAGAATATGGACTCCTGTCCTAGCCGGTTTGGATCAGTGGATAGAGGGCCGGTGTGTGGACTTGAAGAGTTCTGGGTTTGATTCTGGTCAAGGGCACATGCCCGGGTTGCAGGCTCGATCCCCAATAGGGGGTGTGCAGGAGGCAACCAATCAGTGATTCATCATTGATGTTTCTATCTCCTTTCCTCTCTGAAATCAATACAAATACAAAAAGAAAAAAAATATGAACTCCAATAGTACTGCTCACAAAGTCCTGTAAGTGTAGTTAAACTCACCTAGCTAATTTTAGGTGTGGGTTGTGCTCTTTATCTTTAGAGGCCTCTAAAGAATGACTACACTGAAAAATGATAGAATAATAGAAGTCATGTGACTATTTAGGAGTCAAGCCAGTTACAAACCTATAAAAAAGTGACTATTACTAATAAAACTATGAAGAGAGGATCTAAATAAATACTGTCATATTTCTTCAGGCAATGGGAAAAATAGATGTTGCATAGGAATTTGCATTTCTATATTGGCCTAAACTACCACATTTAATCTTAACTATTAACTGTTCTCAATAAAACATTTCTGTAGAACACATTTGCCATAATGTTTAAAAATTTTTAAAGACTAGTCCACTGTAGTTTTAGATAAGTCATTGTTCATTGGGCTCATAGTTTTACTTTTTTAATTTAATTTTTTAAAATAAATCTATTGGCAATTAAAATATCAAGTTCTATTTTGTCATGGTAATGGTTTGTCACTTGTCACAGCCAGATTTTTTAAAGAACAATTAATTACTGGATGTCCTCAGATTCTATTTGAATTCTGTGTGTATGTGTGTGTGTGTGTGTGCGCGCGCGTGTACTTCCACATGTATGCATGTCCATGAGAAGGGTTGTAATGTTTTAGATTTATTAAACAACCTACTACTGACATTTTATTTTTTATTTTTTGTTAATCCTCATCCGAAGATATTTTTCCCATTGATTTTTAGAGAGAGTGGAAGGGAGCGGGAGACACACACAGAGGGAAACATCAATGTGAGAGAGACACATGGATTGGTTGCCTCCTGAGAGCTTGCAGTAGTGTCCTTTGACCTGAATGGAACCCCAGATCCTTCAGTCCGAAGGCCGACACTCTATCCACTGAGCCAAACCGGTTAGGGTGAAAGACAAAGACAAAATTTACCATTCCCTATGAGAGCCTGTCAAAGGAGAATGAAGTGCATGAGAAAACTTTCATAACATTGAAGATTTTAAAAGCCCAATTGAAACACAACTGAAAATCCACAAGAGGGGGATGCTTGCTAAATTGCCAGAAAAGAGAACTCCCACAAGGGGAGAGAGAGAGAGAGAGAGAGAGAGATAGAGAGAGAGAGAGAGACCAATGGGTGGCCTGGGACTCGGTGGGAGGAAGCAGGTGTTCATAGTTCCTCGGGGGTAGGGGTGGAGGCGTGGGCACAGCTTAAGGGAAAAGCTGGGCTTTGTGACTCCGGCTGTGAAGCGTGTGCTCTAAGACGAGGAGCAGAAGGTAGAAGGGTGTTGTCCAAGGAGAGTACCCGCTTCCAGCTACCTCCTGATAGTCCCAGAAGAAATGGGGGTGCTTTTGAGGCGCTTCCGCTTAGCAACCCCACGCGGTTGCTAAGGAGGGGCAGTAGTGGGGTGACCCGGAAGTGCTTGTGTCAGTTTCTCGCTGACTGCTTGAAGTGTGTCCTACCTAGAGCGCCCGGGTGCTTTGCGCCAGGCTGAGGGTGGGGCCAGCGTTAGTGGTTCCGGCTCGGCTCCTGTCGCCCCTCGGCTCCTCGCCTTCCCCCTCCCCTCCCACACCTCTCCTCCCTCCGCTTCCTGGGAAAGAGAGAAGCTACCACCGTGGGTGGGTACAGAAGCGCTCGTCGCCTCTGGGAGGGGACCGCGCCGGTCCCTTGTGATCCCCGGAGCTCCACCGGACCAGGTACTCGCTCCGGCTCCGACGGGGTCCCGGAGGTTGGAGCCTGAGGTGGGTGTGTGTGTGTGTTTGTGGGGACTGGTTGCGGGGGGAGGGGGGCGGGCCGCGTTCTCCGGGTCGGGAAGGGGGACGCCGAGATGCTGGGTGGGGCGCAGGCCGGCGCTGGTGTCTGTGGAGGTTGCGGGGGTGGAGAGGAGGGGCTGGTGGAAACCGCGGGCGGAGAGTTTCGGGTGGCTGGGTGAACGTTGCGGAGGAGGCTCCCCTTTGGATGCAGAAGACTTCTGCCGTGTGGACGGGGAGTTTGCCACCTGGAGGACTCGCTCTGAAAGGGGGAGCGTTCTCCGGAGCCAAAAGGAGGGCATAGATCTCGGCAGGGGTGGTTGGGGCAATCCAAACCTCCCATTGCCTGCTTTCCCTGTCCACCCCGCTGGGACCTAGCCCGGTTTTGAGGTTTTGGGGGATTGTGACTCGGCTGGACACCGTGGGGAGCCGCCCTTGACCGAGCTAGGGCCGAAGAGTGGGTAAGGAGACCTCCCTCCACCCGACTTCCGTGTGCGTCCCCCGCTTCTTCCTTTATTGCTCGTGTCCCTGCGTCGCACGGGAGCGGTACCCCCCAAGTGGGCGGCATCACAGCGTAAAAGAGAGTGGAACTGGGTTTGTCGCCTCTAAATGATATTTCAAATGTTTGAAAAGTGCTGGAATAACATATTCACAATGTCTCTTAGTTCTATATTAAATCGTATAAGTTATCTTAGAAAAGTGCAATTCTGAAAAGCACCAAACTATAGGCTAGTCCGGCATAGTCTTGTTTGGTAGATATTGGTGTTTATAAAAAAAAAAAAAAGACTAGAACCGTATAGAATAGAGGTCTAGGAGAGACATGTTGAGGCAAGCCTTTTCCACCCCCTTTTTTTTTTAACCTGCCAGTAAGCCTGCCCTAGTTTAAACGAAGCAGAACGAAGCTCTTCATTTTTATTTCAATCAGTGGCCGACTGGTAAGTACTGTGTGGTGATGCCTTAGAATAGATAAGTTCAGAGAGACAGGATTGTCTGCTTTTGAGCCTGTCTCTTAATCTTTTAAGGAGATAATTGTGGTCCAGGGGAAGTTTTGGCTTTGAGGTAGGTAAATCTGGGATTGAACCCAACCTGCCATTGGCTAGTTGTTGATCTTGGGCAAGTCATGGAACCTACCAGAGATTTATTTTCTTCATAAATACAATGAGTTAAAATTCTTACCAGTATTGTAAGGGGGATGATATACGTAAATAATAGCCCACTTTAAATGGAATCACCTTCTAATTGAAAGCTGAATTATCATCCATCTTACACAGTCAAGGTAGCCCAGTTTTGTGGAATAAGGCTTGAGATAGGAAGGGAATTGGATAATGATATTTAAAAACATATACAACAAGACTTTCAGTGACTTAGAGAAATTGATTACAAGTAGCATGAAATTCAGCTACCAGTAGTTTCTTAACTCTTAAAAACAAAGTAGAATATGCGCATTTATTCAAAATACCAATAATGTTTCAAAGGTTTTCTCAGATTTGTGTTGTATATAGTATGGATTGATAGGAAAAACATTTAAGCCCTAGCTGGTTTGGCTCAGTGGATAGAGCAACAGCCTGTGGACTAAAGGGTCCCCCGTTCCATTTCTCTCAAGGGCACATGCCCAGGTTGCTGGCTCCATCCCCAGTGGAGGTCATGCAGGAGACAACTGATCAATGATTCTCTCTCCCTCTCCCTTCCTCTCTGAAATCAATAAAAATCTATTTAAAAATAAAACATTTAAAAAGTAATTTATGCCCTAGCCCAGTGGTTCTCAACCTTCCTAATGCCTCAACCCTTTAATACAGTTCCAGTGATCCCAACCATAAAATTATTTTCGTTGCTACTTCATAACTGTAATTTTGCTACTGTTATGAATCTAACTACTGTTATGTAATCTAAGTATCTGATATGCTATATGTGTTTTCCGATGGTCGCGACCCACAGGTTGAGAACCACTGAGCTAGCTGATTTGGGCATCCGCCCTCGGACTGACGGGTCCAGGGTTTGATTCAAGTCAAGGGCACTTACCTGGGTTACAGACTGGATTCCCCCCACCCTCCCCAGAGGGTCAGGTCATGTTGTGTGCAGGAGGCAATCAATCGATGTGCCTCTCTCATTTTGATGTTTCTCTCTTTGTCTCTCCCTTTCTCTCTAAGAATCAATGGGAAAATATCCTCAGGTGGGGATTAATAACAACAACAAAGTAATTTATGTAAATTTCAGTCAACATCCCCTGTCTTTGAAGAGAATTAAATTGGGACATAAAATAGAAAGTTGTAATTTAAGATTAAAATTAACATTAGTGTTGTGACTCATCTTAATTAGATTTAAACTATTAGCAAAATTTACAGAATTTTTATATGTATAATCTGTAAAATAAGTGAAAATGGAATGAATTTCTGCCTTTAAGTCAGTCGTGATGATAATCCTATATAATAAAGAGCTAATATGCAAATGGTCATCATGCTCTCATGCCATCACAATTCATCACTAGAAAGCTGCCTGCGCAGCAGGTGCACACAGGTGGGCAGGGCTGCGTGCACGGCAAGGCGCGCACGGGTGGGCGGGGACTTGACTCTGCGTGCATGACTCAGAGGCGGACCCCGGCTCCTGCCTACCTCTTTGGGGCTATCCATGGAGGAGCCCTGGATGGGTGGGCAGGGCCTACCTCTTTGGGGTGATCTATTGCAGGCCTCCTGTACTGTGAGAGGGCACAGGCCAGACTGGGGAACCAGTGAATTTCATGCACTGGGCCTCTAGTATAGAAATAAATCTCAGGAACATGAAGTCTTTATAATTTGTTTCTTTTATGGTTTTAAAATGATAATTATATGTTACCTGTTATATGTCATATTTTCAGCTAATATAGTTTGCTTTGTGATGTAACATGTAGTTCATACTTTTTTAAAAATATATTTTATTGATTTTATACAGAGAGGAAGGGAGAGAGATAGAGAGTTAGAAACATCGATGGGAGAGAAACATCGATCAGCCGCCTCCTGCACATCTCCTACTAGGGATGTGCCCGCAACCCAGGTACATGCCCTTGACCGGAATCGAACCTGGGACCTTTCAGTCCACAGGCCGACGCTCTATCCACT